ATTCAGACCTTGCAACAACTGCTGTAAGTTCAACTGAGTTTTCGTGGTCTCACATATGCCGAGGCATTAATGGCGTGGGCGACGGCCAAGACAGTCGGCTTCCTCTCCAGTCCGTGTAGATAGACAGAGTGGTCCAAGATACGAGATAATTCGTAAGCGAGAGCCAATGCGGCGTAACGCTGAGAGGCGTTGACGGCGAGAAATAGTGTGTGTCGTGCGGAAGGGTAACCTGGGAAGCCGCGATCATCCAGAGAGGTCCAGAGCGACAAGGATTTGGGCCCCTCGCCGAATAGTCTGCCTAGCGAGTGGGGGATTGTGTATGGATAAAGACCGGCCTGCATAAGACGTCTGAGGTTCGGGACTCTGGGACGACGAATGCAAAGTTCTACGTACGCCGAGGATACGCGCAATGCGAGGCACCGCATCTATGATCGGGATGGAGCCAATACTATTGGCGATATTGAGCAAGTCTGTTCCAGCAACGTTAATCCTGCAGGGGATCCCAGGAAAAAGATGAGGTCGCAGATCTGAGACAGTGTAGGCAAGGGCGTGAGACACAAAAGTGTTTGCATTGGCTGCTTGCAACGCACCAATTCCATACGGGCGGTTATGCAGAAAGCTGCAGACGCCGTCTCTGCGCTGCTGTAGAAACGTTCGGACACGTTCTACGTTCATGGGTAAAATGATGTTGACTGCGAGGTGGCCACGCCATAGGAGGGCGCTCAGCGAGCACACAATTTGAAGCAGACGATACTCTTTGATGACAGGTGGGTATTAGGCAGAGAACGCGACGCAACGGTGTCATGGTGGTGACGGCCATGCCTCGTTGCGCAGCCGCTGACGCGTCGTGGATTGCGCATGCGGGTGATTTCGGTACCGAATGAGGCGTTGAGACTACATATGAGTGGCTTCTCTCGGCCGGGTACCCCGAGGCCCGGATGTTTAGGGTGACAACAGGTCGCGCGGATGACCGACAACTACTTATCTAATAGTAACACTTATGTCCTCGCGCGCCATCTGGAGCGAGCGTCAGAACGTAGACCAGAGACCGGTTGCGCAACGCAGTCTTGCGCCATGGGCAGCTGTGGAGTACTAGTCAAGATGTTAGTGCGAAGAACGCACGATGTGCAGAAGACTATCGTACAGACTATCGTACAGGAATAGGATAAACTGAGACGTCAAATCTGTCCATGTAGCTTCGACTAAGAAACTGTGCACCGGATGCACCCCCTTCATCCTGTGGCCCCAAGATACTGTCCCCAAGCTCAAGTCTAACATGAACCCCAGTGCACGCTACTCCGTCCAGTACCGCGTGCATAATGGCCTGCCAGCTAATATCCGTGCGCTGTGTGCGCATGGCAACGGTCACGCGAGACAGAGACTGTGTTGGATTCGTACCGTCCTGCACTGGGAGCTCACATCGTTGCCAGAGCGATACCCCGACGGACATACGTATGGGGCCACGGTGATGCACTTTGACTCGTATAAGAATCGAATCCCAGCCCGCCTCTGGAACTGCGCATAGTCAGGAGTATGTTACGATGTGGAAGTTATGGTTGGATACATACAGAATCGACCCATGATCGCATGTATATGAGACACACATGACGACTCTGTCGAGAGGAGCTCAATATACGCGGTGACCTGATTGAGTGCTGGCATCACGAGACTACGCGCGACAAATGAAGCTCCTTCAGATGTTCCCTCGAACAAGATCGCCGACAAGGACGGTAGTTGGACTGTCTCTAGAACGTCGCTCCATCCATAGACGGCCCAACGTAATGTCAGAGATCCAAGGCTGTGCCCTGACCGACCGAGCGTTTCCAGTAAGGATCGCGATGTAACCGCAGGGCAGCTCCGATAGCCGACGATCTCTAGCGTGCGCAATCGGTTGCTCGATATCACGCCGTTGAGACCGTGAAGACTTGCATGTCGCAGGTTGGGAGCGTAGAGGATGTCGTGATCATTGCCGACCATCTGCCGGCTATGTAGTGATCATGGTCAGTCATGTGGAGAACTATCGGCTCAGCGCTCACATTGTCATGCACTCGGTTCCTTTGCGCACTAGCGTCAGCGATTCCAGCGATTCCAACCTTTTTAGGCGAGAGATCGCAATCATGCGGCGGTAGTGTTCAATGACAGCGCCGTCTCGTCGTACATCGACGGTCGTGTAACGTGAGGGGTCGAAATAAGACAGTGCCGTTGACGATAGCTGGCGCTGGACAGCTTCTGTTGCCAACGGGCAGTATGCCGTCAATTCGTAGTCGATGTCCCGGTGTTTGGCGGATGCAACCGTCCGCCCCAGCGTCGAGGGATTATGAGCGACGACAAGACTCCAGAACTCTGTGTCGGCAAGAAGGGCGGTATACCAGGACCTGCACAGGCACAATAGTACCGTCCAGCCTGCATCAATCCAGAGAGCCGATCCGAGCCGAGGAAGACAGGTAGCTGCGACATAGAGAAAGATCTCGCGGATGATTTCGACTGGAAGGTGCGGTACAACACGTTGAGCACTGGGCGGAACTGTATCAGCGAGCTTGCCAAATAGCACAAGCGGGAGATCACCTTTCACCGCTTCGACGTCGTTCCGCATGAGAGGTGGTTTCGTTCGGAAGCATCGGGATCTTGCGGAGAGATACAAGAGCAGTCGGCAAACGCGTCTAGTGTGAGGGCAACCGCACCTACCTCTCGCATCTACTCGGGCCAGAGTGTCGGAGGAGGAAGGAGCGCTCCAGGTGAAGGATATGGCACTTTGCAGACTCCGGAACTATTATAGGACACTGTACTCGCAGCCGATGACGCACAGGATCTTTACCCTCAGCACTATACACAGAACGACAGGCGAGATTCTATACAGCCAAACTTGATGCGGACGTACTGCCTCGCTGTCACACGACTCGTCATCAGCCATGACAGTAGGGAAGTGCTTCCGACAGATGCGGCGAACGGAATTTTGTCGTCTTCTCACACTTATCGGCCATCAACGGTTCAACGACCAACTTCCCGCCTGACGCTTGCCGTCAACATGCTATCTTGCTCTGCGACCATGACCTTGCGTCATAGCAGTCTCTCGGCGCGCTGGGGCGCCTGATTGACGACGCTATCCTTTCTTCAATGATGAGACAATGCATATTTTCCGCGCCTCTGCCATTGCACCGTTTTCTGAGTTACGCGTGGGCACAATATGACTGCACGCGGACTCGCCATCGTCGGATTCAGTCTCAACAGTTCGCCGAGGCCATGTGGATATGCAAAGTCTGTGGTTATGACACTGTGCGTATTTCCCTCGTTATGCTGTAGTGCGATACTCATGGGCCTTGTAGTTGGCGGTAATTGGAACATGGGCACAAGGATGGGTTCGTGGGTACAGACGAATATGCTTCATGCGTAGCCTGGATTAGTCACCCTCTCCTGGTTGGTTCGACTAGGACATCTAAACCAGTGTTGGATGTTCTGACGCGACGGTCAGCCCTCCATCCTCGCTATCTATTAGACGTTGAGAGGGCTTACAATGCGAATCAGACGTTCGTGCCGAGGTTGGACGTGGAAGGAGCGGCGATAAGCTGTCCATATAATCGTGAGCAGTGCTTGGAGGCGCCGCTCGTTATGTCGGGTCTGATTGTACCACTGCACAAACCCACGAAGGAAGTGGTTTTGCTCCGGGGAGAAGCGGACGCAGTGTCTCTCCATTATACGAGCTACCGGGAGGGCAAGATCTTGCAGTCGCAGATCGTGCCATCGACCTTATGTCTCCGGAGTTGTATGGCGTGTCATGAGGTCTTCGTAACACATTCTTCATTTTGCGATGTACTTGGGCACCGGGAGATCTCGTGTCTAGACCTCATGCGAAACCACTTTCTTCTTTGCTTTGACAGACGCGTCGCGACGCGCAAGCAACCTCTGTGCTTACGTGAAGGGCGCGCTGCTTAGTCCTCCCGGATGACGCTCTTTCGTTTTTCAGGGCCACAATTGACTTGAGTCTCGTTGCATCCGAGTGAGAGTTCTGGTTATAAGCGCAGAGCACTCCTTGTTGACAAGTCGTTACGCAGCTATGGATCTATTCATGCTGAATCCTTCCGACCGACCACGGCAACACATAAGGTTCCATGTATCGACAGGCGCTCCGTGAGTACAGTTTGAAATTGATCCTTATACGCACTCATCTCTGTCAGGTTGTCTACCGCTGCCCGCAGCTTTTTGAGTGGCAACGACACGATGCTACTCCTGCTCGAGCACCTGGGAATAGCAGAGTTACAGAGGCTCTCGCAAGTCTGCGTGGTCTGGACCTCCCTCGCACGGGACGAACTCCGTCGACGCGTCTTCCTCGAGTTGAAGCGTCACGTTTTCGACGCCTCGCTATCACGTTCCCTGTCGTCGTACCCTCTCAAGGAAGCCGTGGAGAACTTTCTCGTGCTTCTGCGCACAACTCGCTCGGTTGTGAGTGGCTCTACAGCGCTCGCAGTCTGTATGCAGGGCACGATACGGGCTGGGGAATGGATGGACGAGCGCGACCTGGATATCTTCACGCCAGTAGGGATGGCACCCAATGTCATACTATACTTCGTGGAGACGCTGGGATATACAGTGGCTCGGCGCTTCACAGGGCGTGTGGCCGATGACGACGTCTTCGGAGGCGACGACGAGGGCGACGCCGACCCGGACGACGAACTTGAAGTCAATGGCCCCTCCTTTACAATTGGTCCTTCACCGCGCGGTCTCGGGGTCATGAGCGTTACTCGTTTGGTCAGGAATGGCGGCCTTCGCGTGGACGTCATCGAAGCCGATTCGGATTGCGCCATCCTACCCATCGCCCACTTCCCGTATACGGCGCTGGTCAACTACCTTACGAGCACGTCTCTCGTCGTATGTTACCCTCAGTTGACGCTGGAGGAGTTGGCGACACATGCAAATCCCGGCATGTCGGTGCCGGAGCGGATCAAAGCCAAATATCAAGAGCGCAATTGGACGGCGCCGACGGAGTTCCAGCACACGAGCCAGTGCAAGGTTCCCAAACACTACTGTCCTCGCAACAATCGCATTTCTGAAGATTCATCCTGTCTTGTTTTTGACTTCGAGCCGAGAGGGGGCTACCATTTCCCCTTGGAGCACGTCCGTGCGGTCTCGTACTATCCGCAGGCGTCGTGGACGTGGGGAGACTGGTCCAGTACGGACGCGCACGACGAGCCATATGTAGTCTCCCGCTATTCACCCTTTGTTACCCACTAGACATGTATAATCCAAGACAACCCCCACTCCGCTATGCCCCAATGATCGCGTGGAATCTTACTCACGCAAGTTGCGCGATAAGAATGAGAATCACTTTGGAAGACTGGCTATCCTGCCTTCGACCAATAGTAGAGAGCGGGCTTCGCATTAAGGGTTGCGGGTATCATGGCACCGGACGCCCGCCACCCTCTGTTCTCAGAACGGGATTTGAACGGGATACCGCGCCGGAGGCTCATGCGATCTACTGACGCGGCACGTGGCATAGCGGCACGTCGACATCTATGATCTATCTTCCCTCCGTCTCTCATCATCGTCCTATTCGAACAAAGTCCCATGCCAGGTGCGATACCTATACACCAACCTCTGGATTTCCCGTTCCGACACATGTGTAGGAACTGCGACCGATGATCACCTTGTCCGGTTTGACGTTGAGTCATTACACCCCGCGAAAATCCCCCCAGGAGCCCCCTACGTGCGCCATTGCCTGCATGTAGCGTCTTCTTCTGATAACGGCTGACAAGTCGTTCCTAGGAAATGTGTGGTGAATCTCTCTGTGCCTATAGCACCTGCCTTCGTCCGCAGTACGATCCCGATGATCCTTTTTCGCAAGTCTTTTGTCCGTCGGCCTGTTGTCTGCATTGGATGCATGCTCTGTGTGTCGCAGACAAACATATCACGAACGAATGCTATAACGAAGAGGCAACGCACATACAGGGCTTGTTCCGAGCCGCTGTACTTACGTCGTGCGCCCCCGACAGAAGTGCGGAGGCCTGGGAGCTCGACAACGAAATAAATACGGCGCTGCGCGAACTCAGCGTCACCGAACTCAATATTATCCGACATCTCGCTGGAAAACCTATCATCCGGCCCACGAACGCCTCCATCTCAGGCAATATAGATGAAGTCCTGACAGCGCGCCGTTGGATAGGTCTCGCGCTGGAGGGTCGTGTGCGTGGCCACGTTCTAGCGCGGCTTCGCGAATGGCTCGCAACGTTTGACGAGGAGTCCGTGGTGCTTGGGTGGCGCGAGGCCAACCTTCGCGGCCGAGGTATGAGGGCAGGAGAGGAGCTAGAGAGAATGGTTAGATCCCCGGAGGACGTGCGGCGGAAGATGAACCTTCGGTTCAACGTATGTTTCCATTGCGGCATACCTATCTGAACTCAGTCCACCTTTCTTCTTGCTATTCCAGATATTAGGTATGCTGGCTAGACGCTTTGACTCGTGTGCATATCCCTCCGTCCTTGCGATTATGTTTCCCCATCAATGCTATGCTTGTATCGATCTCATGAGGGATGCGTAGAGCACCATTTGTGGAAGAAGAGTGGGCGTGTGAGCGTAAGGAAAGTATCAAGAAGCCGGCGCCTGGTAAATTAGACAGGAAATGGCCGGTACGCTTGCAGATTGGATGAGATCTCCTTCTTGACTGAAAAAGACATGCATGATCCCAGGTAGGCATTGCAGCACTGTCACAACAATCGATTCAGGCAAAGACAAACGGGTGTGTACAAGAAAGAAGGAGAGTGCGGCTAGAGGCTGAGCCAATGGAGGTAGATCGGATTAAGTAAGAGAGGATGACAGGGTGAGTTAGGGTAGGCCGAATGGAGAGAGAGTTGACATTAGGAGCGGGAAGACAAAGGCCGAAACGGGAAGGCTAGCTCATCGATGATGCATATGTAGGGACGATCGCAGGTTGATGGGGAACAGATCGGGACGGCAGACACATATGGAGGGGAGTTGCGCAGATTCGAAAGCAACTAGTCCTTGCCTTCATCCTCGCCAGAGTCCCCGTCTCCCTCCACATCCGAATCCTTGTCACCGCGAAGCATACTCATCAACCACTCGAGGCTGATAGCTTGCGATGCCCCAGGAACTGTCGGGCCGCAGTGGCACGCAACATGCGAGTGCGCAGATGTATCCTGATGAACCGCTTGTACGAGGGTGAGTGAAGTGAACGATCTGATGAGCGTCAACATAACTCACGAGGAGAAATTGCAGGTGGGAGGAGCCTAGCGGGGATCGGGCTGAGATTGGATGGCGACGAGGGGAAGACACATGTGGAAGGGGTGGCAACGAATTCTGGGATGAATTGTGTAGGCGGGTGGACGTAATCGAGAGCGATATCGATGACGGCAAGAGCTTTGTGGACGTCGGTCGGCTCATACTTGGTGTCGTCCTGTCGCAGGCGAAGATCAAGGGCGCGCATGACTGCCTTGTCGACACCCGACTTCAAGAGACCACACTGGCACCATCCAAAGTCGCATTCGGACACGTTGTCAAGTTCGTCCCTGAGAGTCTTGAGGAGGACGAGCCGCGGGGACACGTGGATGGTTGTGCGGTTGCATTCGAGCTCGGTTATGGCGCCGATGTAGATGTTGGTGATGGTGTCATGCGCAAAGGGTATAAGGACAAATGCATGGATGCTGATATCCGGAGAGAGGCGGCGTTTGATGCGAGTGCTCATGCGCATGACATGGGATGGAATATTGGGGATGTACCAGCCAGCGGCCAGCGCATCGTGTAGGGCTTGAGCAATGATTGAGTCTGAAAGGTGGTGTGCTTGGGTCTGAAAGGCGGACAGGAGCTGACGGCCATTGCAGTCAAAGAGCGACGAAGGCAGTTGCATAGTTGAGTTACAGGCGCGCGGAAGAGACAGAAGAATGGAGCGAAGTGGGTTGTTGACCAAGCGCCCCATGATTGATGCGGAAAGGAACGCTTGACGGTGTACACAAGGCTACTCTTATACACCCACCGGGTAAATCCGGAAGCGCAGTAGGGTGAGAGTAGAGCAAACGGTGTTAGATTTAAGTGCGATAATAGCTCCGGCTTCTGATGGTGGCTAGATGTCCTAGTTGATAGAACATGAAGGGTAGTTTTGTATTCCATTGTAGGAAGATACTGTGACATTCTGTAAATATAATAGCTAGAGGAAATGTGCTCACTGCGCCATCATTGATGCCATGATCCGGACTTGCCACATGGCATGAAAAATACGTAAAAATTAGATTTTGAGCATATATAGGGCGGAGGCAGCTTGCCTGACTCTTCCACCACCCCAGATGGAAAATCTTGATCTCCCTCGGTTTCCCTCGCTCCTCAACTGCGCATGCGCATTTGGATGCATGCACTCACTCTTAGTATATGACTGCTTTGCTGCTATCATCTTGCGTGGTCTCCATTTCTTTTTCCCTCGGACTACCATCGCTGCGCTGCTTCAAAAATACCAGCATCTTCTTGCTGTCGGGTTCTACGCACCAAAGCTCTCATCTGATTCAATCACTAAGGGGATGTGTATTGTGATACCTCTGGCGCCATTCTTCAAGCTTCACGTCCAGATCATGGAGGCACTGGTGCATGACTCTCACCACGCCATCTACGTCTGCGCCATTTTCAAGGTCACATGTGGCGCGGTAAACATCACACTTCCACGGCGCCTCTTGCTTCTCAAAGCAAATACGACGACCCATACTATGGAGGAGTCCTGCTGTTTTCAGCAGTGCTTTTCCTATCCTCTTGTTCCATCGGTGGATAGCGTAGTCCTCGCAGTTCTTCGCTCTCGCCTTACCAAGACCAACATGGCGGACTTCACAGTCAATCTTACCGTCGCCAATCGTATCATCGAGTTCCTCAACACAATCCTGGAGGATTACACACTTCCTCGCCAATACGTGAGCAGCTTCACTGAGGCTCATGATGTCCATGTCGTACACGCCCATGAGCCATCCTATCAGCCAGTGGTAGAAGTGATAAGTAGGTCTATTCTGGTTCATATTGGAGACGAATAACTTACGGTCTCAATAGGACCAACACCATGTTTCTATTCAGTCTCCCAGCTATACTGTGGTTGTTTGTCGGGCTCAGCAGGTGCAGTAATAATTGATGATCAGTATATTAGCAAGCTTGTACAGTATGCATAATATCCTCATTTTTAAGCTGTCGCAATGACGGATACAATAGTCCACGCAAATCGTCCCGTATCATGCCAGATCCGGTCTAAACTTAGAGTTAGACTCCGGTGTTTTGATGGACGGACTCAGATTTAAACTTTGGTGAATCAATCAGCCGGACCCGGAGTTTTAGAACTCCGGCCTCCGGAGTCATGGACCTCCGGCCTCCGGAGTCATAGACCTCCGGCCTCCGGCATCAGGAGTAAGCTCCGGGAACCCATGTGGAGCTTTCCAAGACATTTGTTTGCATGCCAGAATGACGCAGTGGTCTTCAGTGCTGTACAACAGACTCAATTGCATGTTCTTCATGGAAGATGTCTTGATCTGAAGACCACTACGACATACTAGCATGCACATACTTTTGCACCCTTCAAACGCTCTAGCTGTGAACATCTGAGATTTCCAGTTCATATATGAAAGTCTAGATATCACAAAATTATTGCAATTACATACAAAAAGTGCATAGTTGTGGTCAGAACTAGATCGAACTACAATTCTGTGAGCTTGAGATTCTTATATCATGATAATTGGACTGATGACCGTACCAAGCTTTAGTAGCATCAATCAATCAGTGCCTAGACTGTAGCTGGCCACGACCTGTGACGTCTTGGCAGGTAGCTAGACTCGTGCTGTGCTGTAACCATTGTACTGGCTCCAGCCAGTCCTGATCCAGCTGACAATGGCCGGTGCTCATTGATGGGGGGTATGGTCGGCTCTGGGACGGCCACTAGAGGAAGTGGTCTCCAAGGCTCGATGTCCGACGACGACCGAGCAGATGGATATGTATCCACCGACTGGGTATTCATATTCATGGGATAGATACCAGTGCTGAGGGGCATGTCAGGGACACTGATGTCTTCTAGACTGAAGCTAGCCTCGAGTCGGCCAAAATGTAGGGAGCCAGTCCTCTCAGATAGGGTATCATCTGGGGCTTGGATGTGCTTGGCATAGAAGAGATTGAAGACAGCACAGAGCACAATTGCAGCAATCACTAGGACAAGTAGTGAAACAAAGACAGCGGTTATGGTGGCCATCATGGTGAAAGACAGGTTTGATTGCCACTCTCAGTGTGTGCGTGGCTTAAATAGTCCGCATGCTTCCGAAACGTAGAATAGACGTAATCATAATATATTTTGTTGATCCGCAGTTTATCACGTGTTATGATCGGCCTTCTCGGCCAGCTTCTTGTCAAATTGGTCATCCTCTTGTAGTTCTATGCAAGCCATTTCTGCACATTAAGGCACTTCAGTCTCAAGTAGACACTCTATTATTGCTGGTTGCACTAGTGGGACTGTTATACGAGACAAACAGCTGTGCACGTAGCTTCCGGAGAGGTATGAGGCTAATCCAATCTGATCAGAAATGAGGGAACAACCTTAGTCGTTGCCATGTAACACATAACATAGCCCAGAAAACCAGAGAATGTTACCCGGTGTCTGGTTTGGCATGCCGAAGGGTAGTCCGAAGCCACCAACAGGCCTTTTAGTGGGCCTCAGTGTTCACAATGTCCAAGGTAATGGTCTCCGTTCTTCAGCAAACACTGATCCTACCAAACTTGGGAACACGTAACACGTAATGCCAGATCCGATTTGGCGACCGATCCGAAGACAACAGTATTATGAGTCTCCAATGGCAAAACTGTTGTCATCATGAGGAACTCACGTGACCGTGTCCCGTTGCCCACGAAGCTTCCGTGTTTGCCGATAAAGGTACCAGGAATGCCCGGAGGGCGGTATATATAACATAATATCTACAAGAGTGCTGGCGTAGCACACGATTTGGCTCCCAAAACGACAGTGCCACTGCATGTGCGGAAGTTCGACGCGTCTTCTGTGGTCATGTGACCGTGCGGGTAAAGGGCCGGCGGCGGGCCGGCGTTCGCACGCTTGGGAAGTTGGGAGCACGCCAACTTTTGACAACCCACTCCCGACGACCACCATCGCCTACCAGTCAAGATTGAATGCCACTGGCTATCACCTTCGGGGCTGAGTTCTTTCGGTGCGATTGGCGTCTGGCCATCTGGGCTCGCAATAGTGACTTCCTGTGTCTCAGATTGGGCCGTGTTCGGTCGGACCCACATGTCGCGACGCATCGCACTCACATACGCCGGATCTCGCTGGCCTATCTGACTTGGCCACAGATCGCCCAGGCGTACTGCGGACTGGCTTTCCATTGGTCCGGATGATACACTTGTTATAGCACTCTCGACAGACCGTTGGACTGCTTGCGCAGTCGTAGGCTGTGTTTCGCGTACGCGGACCGCAGACTCCGGAGGACCGAGCTACTACCCTTCGAAAAGACTGGGACCTCGGCTTTACATACTACCCCAATGCGCCTCGATATTCCGTTCTTCACCTGTGCGATGCATAGTCGTTCATCTTCAGCCTTCTCGATCACGTGATTGCCACGGCGTTTCCAAGCCCATCAAACCATGCCTGACCTGCGCTACACCGGCCGTCCCGCACCACACCATATCTTGCAGCGCTTTGCAATCGATGCTCTCTCATCCCCGGCTCAGGGCTGATTCATGAAACACTCGTGGCTTACACGCACCCGCACGTGTTCCTACAAGCAGAGCCACACACCTGGAAGGGAACAGCTCAATCCCAGAGTCGGTGTGTCTCTTACTCGTGTATGCTCTCTGCCATTTACTGATTCCATATCCTGCAGCCAGTAGAGGCGAGGTCTGTTGTTTATGACACTCGGCGTTCCCCAAACTCCAAGACGTACAGTATGAGCAAATTGCAAGTCCAGCCATAGACTTGATCATATGGCTTTCAGAAAAGCGGCCACACTCGGACAACGCGAAAATGTCAGCTCTCCCACTGCGAACCTGTGTGCTCGGCTTACCGATGCTTGATTGGTCAGCCCCCTGTGCCGTTTGTAAGCATCTGTAGGCCCGCATTTATGGCGCATGGAACGAGTAAGTCCATGTGTTCCCCATATCCCCGAATAGAGTCAATGACCGTGTGCAGGAGTGGCGCTTAGCTGGCATAAGGATCCACATTGGTGGCGGCTCTGGCTTTCAGCAGCAAAAACTGCTACCAGGTCGTGGCTCGTCGTTCGCGGAAGAGGATACAGTGTGAGTGTCTGCCTCAGAGTGTCAGCCGCTTCCTCTCTTTCAAAAAGGTGACACCCATCACTCAGGCTGGCACGATCTGACATAGAATTCTGCTTTTCTTTTGGGACGAGTCATACCTCTCCACCGCGATGCCGGGACTCCGGCGATTTGACCAATTATTGCCCGCAGTCACGTTACACTGTCTGATACAGACTGATCCGTATTCGTCGCGGTGGCCATGCAGTCCAACTTGGACAGAGACAGTGGATCAAGCAGGGCATCGCTATATATGGCCTACAATACGGCCGCTACTCGGTCTTTCATTCGCGACAAGACTGCTCTTCGAACACCTTTCCTTGGGCTTTCTGGTCCTCGACTAATGGACGACGAAGCCCACGCGACACTATTTCTGACGCTCATGTTCATCAACTCTGTCATCGCCCGCTCGTTCAACATCGGCACCGCGCTTGAGCGTGTACGTAGACTAGGCCTAACCGTTCATCGCCGGACGAACTCTACAACATCCCTCGATCACTTCATTATCTCGTCGCTCGGCAATGCATGGATGCCTGGTCTGCCTCCGCGATGCATTGCATTGTGTACATATAGCGCGTTGCCTCTCCACGACAGCGACCAGGCGATTCCCGATCCATTCGGGGTTGGGTGGCAACTGTCCTATAGCGCGGTGGACCTGACGAGCCACGAGCCTGAACTGATTGTGCCACAACATCTCTTTACCCCTTTCGAGGGCACCAAAAGGAGCGAGAGTGCTCTTCAACGCACTGACATGTTACTGCTGTTTTTCACGCGGTCTGATGGCGGTGTAGGTGTGCGCGTCGCTGCGGACGCTGACTATGAGGCTATCCCGGACACACCCACCCGAGTTTCGGCAACTTCCCTTAAGGTCACCCTGAGAGTGAGCAGCCGTATTTCTCTTCATCTGGCCCTCATGAGACTGACGGGTTCAATAGCTTCTCAATTACTCACTGGTCGAACGTCAGATCCAACTTCGTTCTCCCAACGCTAAAGTCTCAGCGCGCCGCCTTGCCCGTCTGGTGGCTGCGAAAGTACGCAGCTGCATTGAGGTGAGTTGTACTACGGTTCTTCATCTCTTTCGATGGTTTTTAACATCAGCTGGCAGCATGCTGAGCGCGAGAACGCGACGATCTCGCACTGGAACGACCCACGTTGGAAGTCCGGCACGACCGGTGAATGCATCAAGGCCGGTGATGTCATTCTTATTGGCCTGATCTTTGTGTCTCCTGGAAAGGTAACGCCTCTTTTGAGCCTTCGTTCTGATTACAACCTTCTCGGCCCATCTGGTTGGCCGTAAGGTAATACGAGTATGAACTGACTGATGCATTGATCTACGAACCGCATCCCTCCCCACTCTGATACCTGCCACATGATACCAGTATACCAGATTTGCATATATAATGTATGCCAAAAGTACGCTACGCCTCTTCGCCGCACTAATACAAATGAACTTCTTACGACTTACCTAGTAGCCCCTTTACCAGTACAGCAACGGGCTCACTGGGCCTTACATATACCAGTACCGTCAGGCTTCAGCCGTGCTTATTATGCGGAGTCATCCTTCTATACTACTCAGCGGTAGCAGATAATAAGCCTCTCGAGCATATTTAGAAAGCATATTCAGAGATTGAGACGGAGAAGTTTTCACCTGCTTACGAAGTTCGGAATACGTCGGAGACTTGAAAGACGCGCAAAACGCGCCGTCCCTGTCTTCTCACGTGACCGTGCAGTGCCTCCCGGTGTTTCTTGTGCGGTACGCCAGGCGTGCTTGTCTTTCGACTACCACCACCACTACTTGCCTGTCGATGTCAAAACCGCAGCCCACGAGGCTCTCCTGGACATGGTCGCCTTTATGAGCTTCTCATGTGATCGCGTCGCGGCAATTACGGCCCGCAAGGCCATCCACCGCGGTTGCCCACCCATGTCGAGGTTTCGACCCAGTCCACCACCATCATGCTCTGGGGTGTTCATTCGCGAAGTCTTTTGATGCCTCGGTCCACTCACATAATGAACTTGAATTCAGAGCACTGCTATGCCCCAGGCTCCAGTTCAGCAGGCTTGAATGCGCTCGGAGCATACTCGCCTTCGCTCTTCACAGTACACGCGGAACGGAAGTGGGACCACAACGGCGACGCGGGCTCCCGTGGATATCCGCGGAGTTGGTTGGACTCTTCGACTCAGTTGGCGGACTTCGAAACGCCCTGGCCTGGATCACGAGCTGTGCGATACGTCTCGTCGACGCAAATGGGCTGTTCACCCGGCTCTTCTCCAACCGTAGTGGATACCATTGCGCTAAGGGCGGAGGGCTTGCAAGCGGTGACATTGGACCTTCGTTCGTCTCACCTTGGACACTATGTGTACACGAGTGCGCCTATTATAGACTGCGGGCAGGCCAGTGCTGCAAGCCAGCCACCGAATTACCGTCTTCCTGTGAATTCCTGCCCGGCAGGATCGGGTGATGGACCCTTGTACCACTTACTTGTGGATGCTCGAGATAATTGACTGCTGGTGGTCCGCACCCAGAGTCCTTGATGCAGCATCTGCCACGATGCCCGCTCGCCGTCGTCATCGATGCATGCTAATTGCGCCATCGCCGTGACCTGTCGTAGAGTGGGGACCATTGACCTTTGTTGTACCAGATTGGGGATCCGATCCGACCGGACGGCCATGGGAGGCCTTTTCCGCAAACAGCGCATTTACTGCGATCAACCCCGCGCGCGCCTCACGCATCTCCCATGCGCCCTACAGCAGCGCCACCGACCTGTGAAGAACATCCCTGCATGCATTCGTCTGACTGTCTTTCAGTGTGCTGCCCCTCGCAAGAACTTGTAGGGCTGTCCTCGATATACAGGTATGTACGCGTTGGTCTCGTTGCCACGCGTCGCTTACCGAGTCCGTGTAGAGTACGCTCGAAAAAATCAGCTCAGCGGCAACCCTCCTGCGTTCTAAGTGGTGGATCCGAACGAGGAAAGCTACTTGTGGGTCCATCTATGGACCTGGCACTGTGTATGGATCCAATTGCAATGCTCCATCGTCTTCCCCAGGAACTGACATCTGAAGTCCCGCTAGACGCTTGAGCGCAGCTTGGGCTTCCACAGCTGAGCTGTGAGACCACGAGCTGACGTGCCTTTGAACTTGGGGCACACTGAGTTGTCTGCTACGAGTGCTTCGTCGCTACTGACATATGAGAGACTGTTACCTTCAAAGTGAGTGTCTTTCAGCCCATCGCACAACATTCTCGTACAGTTCAGCGTTTTCTAGAACGATATTATCTGAGTCCCTTGCACAGGACAGCAAGCCTCGAGTCAGCTACACTCTGAACCCGCCGGCGTTCGTGTGTCCAATTCCCGTACTAGGGTTGACAAAGGCCCTCGGTCAGCAGCAAATTGCTCGCCCGATATCACTGAGATTGGACAAACCGAAACTATAACAGGCTGAGTACACGGCGTCTCCCTGCCATCATTTTCGTCTATTCCTTCAAATCTTTCTCGCCAGCCGCAAAACTTTCCTATCGCCGATGACCGACTACCTTAATGCGGAGCTCGTCCTGCGCCAGCGCCTCGAGAATACCGTCATTGCTCGTGCGTTCGGCGTCAATGTTGCTCTGGAGCGCATGCGCCGCTTCGTGCGGGCAGGTTATGTTGGCGCGGAACATGCCCCGGCGTTGGACGACTCTATCGTCTTACTCTTGAACGAGGCCGCCGCAGTACACCATATCCCTCTCTCCTGCATCGCATTCGCCGCACATGATGCGCTCCGGCTTCACATCACTGACCGGATCGGCATTAACACGCCTGATCTGGGCTGGACTCAGTGGTGTGTGTTTGACCTCGTTGATCCTGAGCCTTGGCTCATCGTACCGATGGGACTCTTCGTCCCGTTCAGGGGCACCAAAAGGAGCGAGAGCGCACTCCAGCGCACCGACATGCTCCCTCTCTTCTTCGCGCGGTCCGACGGAGGCACGGGTGTGAGCGTCGCTGCCAACACCAACTACGAGACTATCCCGAACACCCCTACTCGTGTTTCTGGAACGTCGCTCAAAGTCATCATCAACGTGCGCGCTCTCCGAACCTCTGCTTTTGACCGCATTTCTGACGACGTAGATGCTATCTAGCTTCCCAACTACACGACCTACGAGCGCCAGATCCAGCTGCGGTGTCCCGCGAATGGGACTGTCTCCGCGCAGAGGCTCGCGCGCATCGTGGCCGCTAAGGTCCGCGAATGCGTCAATGTCAGTTGTTCCTCTCCGTACCTTGTACTAGCCCTAACTCTCACACCATCAAACAGAACGCGAGCCAACAGGACACGACCATGACGGAGCAGGGCTGGCGATTCGGTGCCGGCGTCGGCTGTCTGCAAGCCGAAGACATCATCCTCCTCGGTATAGTGTTCGTCTCCCCCGGGAAGGTGACGCCGCTGTTGAAAGCGCGCTCCGATTACGACCCTTTCGCTCCGTTTCATCTCGCCTTCAACTACGATATCGATCCATCCGTTCTTTGAACAACCGTCTTGACCTGCGATCTCTTGTGTGGTGCTTGTAACTTTTGACCCCAATAATCACCTTAGATGAAAATTATTACTGTCACATCATATTCCCCTGTACACATTGTTTCAGACTCTAGGTTCATGCTACTGCTGTACTAGTCACTGAGAACCCACATTAAATCACATGTATCCGTCCGAACTCTTCGTCTACGTTGGGAAGACGCGGAATGAAAAAACTCGACTACCTTCACCACGAGTGACTCCCTGGCGGGGAGTCGAACCCCGCTCTCCCGCGCGCTTGCCTTGACAAGCGGGTGTACTAGCCGATATACTACCAGGGATTTCTAGGGATTTCTCTAAACTTCAATACGATAAGTCTATTTCGGTCGACGTGGTTACCAGGTTTCCAGTCGTCGCCGCCTTCATTCCGACTCACTCATGCCACACCCATGAACCTCTATCCCCATATCTTTTGTACGTTACGTCCTCCCTCGAGGGAACGCGTGTCTTGCGCTACGGAGAGCCCTCAGCGATCCATGAGGCCACGAACCGGCATCGGTAACCTGGAGTAGCCGCAGACCCCGATATTCGTCGGGATTTGTATCGCCTGTCTTCCGGAACGGTCTACCCCACACTCCCGTTTCGGAGGGTCAGTCGCGTCTTGGCTGCCATAAAGCACGGCATGCTCATCCTTCGTCCTCTCGAGTTTTCCACCCCGCAACGCACATCCGAGAATGGCACCAATCCGTAACGCTCGCGCGTATTATGCTGCTGTACCAACAGGCATGTCGACTTATTATCGTACCTCATGTACCACAGCTGATTGACAAGCTTATTCTTCTGAATAGAGTACATCGAGCCCGATGTGCACGTCAAGTACGACGATTCGCGAACAATCGATCTTGACACCGTCAAGCTCAATGGCGGATTCCTGCTCAAAACACTCTGCCTGAGCGTCGACCCTTACATGCGAGGCAAAATGCGGGACCCCAAGATCAAGTCGTACACGCCGCCTTTCGAGTTTAATCAATCGTGCGCATCAGCTTGAGTACACTTGTGTGTGTTTTTGTTCACAGCATACTGTTTCTGTAGCCTATACGGCTACGGTCTTGGCAAAGTTATACGCTCGGAGGATGAGGCGTACAAGCCGGGGGATGTTGTGCACGGCATGGTGTTTCACGAGGAATATTCGGTCTACAATGGACCGTTGACACCCTTTGTCCCATTCCACAAACTTGAGAACATCGGACTGCCCTGGTCAGTCTACACGGGCGTCCTTGGAATGCCAGGTACGTCTCATCCGCTCACCGAGCAACCAACTGTTGACATTCATGATCTAGGCCAGACTGCATACTACGGCTGGAAAGCGTACAGCAAAGCCAAGGCGGGCGAAACCGCTTTCGTCTCCACCGCCGCTGGTGCTGTAGGCTCTCTCGTCGTACAGCTGGCAAAACGCGACGGCTTGCGGGTCATCGCGTCGTCAGGATCCGACGATAAGGTTGCGTATGCCAAGGAGTGCGGCGCGGACGTCTCGTTCAACTACAAGACGGAGAAAGTGTGGGATGTTCTTGAGCGCGAGGAGAAGGGTTTGGACATCTACTTCGATAATGTCGGCGGTGAGTGACTGTTGCCCAAATCGCCTTTCTCATGGAGGCATTTGTCGATCCCTTCATACCCGCTGGGTTCATCTCATCCTTCAATCC